ATTCCTCACGGTCCAGGGAGACTGCCTGTCTGCCCAGACAGTCTCCCCGCGGCAGATCAGGACTCTGCGGACACGTGATCGCTCGATCACATGACTGCAATAGGTGCCTGTGTATCTGCCTGCAGGGGGACTGCCTGTGCTGACAGGCAGTCTCCCTGCAAGTAGAAAATCATAAAATAAAGTTAAAAAATAAATAGCAACATACATAATATGTATATATATATCTTATATATATATATATGTCATACTAAGTGTATTTTTATATTTATATAAACATATATTAATATAAAAATACACTTATAATTAAATTACACAAGTGTGTGTATATATATATATATATATATATATAATATATAATAACTATATATTATTAAAAAATATAAATAAGTATATAAAAATAAATTTAAAAATGTAAAAATAATTTTTAATAATTTAAACAAAATTATATATATATGTAATTTATTCTAACTGTATTTTGATATATATATATATATATATATATATATATTTATAGCAAAATACACTTAGAATGAAATGATATATATATATATATATATATATATATATATCTATGTATAAATAAATAAAAATTATACGAAATATACATATGTCCATATACATAATTACATAAATAATTTCATAAATATACACGTAGACTTCAAATATATAAATATGTATATATATTTAAATTCTACGTGCATATTTATGTAATATTATTACATAATTAAGTAATTTTATTGATTGCCATTTGAGGGACATGCCTGAGAACCCAGGCCGAAAGTCCAGAGAATTTAATTTGCTAGCACTGTGTTTAACCCTGTAACTTTCTATGACACCCTAAAACCTCTACATTGGGGGTACTGTTTTACTCGGGAGACTTCGCTGAACAGAAATATTAGTCTTTGAACACAGTAAAACATATCACAGCGATGATATGGTCAGTGAAAGTGAAGTTTTTTTGCATTTTTCACACACAAACGGCACTTTCACTGATTTTATTGCTGTGATAGGTTTTACTGTTCTGAAACACTATTATTTGTGTTCAGCGAAGTCTCTTGAGTATAACAGTACCCCACATGTAGAGGTTTTATAGTATTTTTGAAAGTTACAGGATCAAATATAAGGCTTGATTTTCTTTCTTTTTTTCATTGAAATTTGTCAGATTGGTAATGTTGCCTTTGAGAGCGTATGGTAGCCCAGGAATGAGAATGACCCCTGTGATGGCATACCATTTGCAAAAGAAGACAACCCAAGGTATTGCAAATGGGGTATGTTCAGCCTTTTTTAGTAGCCACTTAGTCACAAACACTGGCCAAAGTTAGTGTTTTTTGCATTTTTAACACACAAACAAATATAAATGCTAACTTTGGCCAGTGTTTGTGACTAAGTGGCTACTAAAAAAGACTGGACATACCCCATATTGAATACCCTGGGTTGTCTACTTTAAAAAAATATGTACATGTGGGGTGTGATTCGGGGATTTATGACCGATAACAGTGTTACAATGTCACTATTGATAAATGTAAAAAAAAAAATATAAAAAAAAAAATATATATATATATATATATATTGAAAGAGCAATTTCCTACTTGTACTTATAGCCCTATAACTTGCAAAAAACACTGGGTGTTTTTAAACTCAGGACAAAATTTTGAATCTATTTAGCAGTTTTTTTCATTACCTTTTGTAGATAATTAAAAGATTTTTCAAGTAAAAGTCCAAAAACATGTTTTTATTTCCATTTATCACCATATTTTATTATTTTTTTAAAAAGGAAAATATATGACATGAAACAAATACTGGTATGTAAAGAAAGCCCTTCTTGTCCTGAAAAAAAACAATATATAATTTGTATGGGAACCGTAAATATGAGAGCGAAAAATTACAGCTAAACACAAACACCACAAAAGTGTTAAAACCGCTCTGGTCCTTAACGTACAACATCGCAAAAACAGGCGGGTCCTTAAGGGGTTAATATGCCTTTGTAAATTCTGATAAATAATTATATGTACATACTAAAAAGTGCAGACAAAGGATTGTGTACTATATTTCATATAGACAAAACAAAATATGATAAATGTTGACTACATGCAGACATATGAATAGAGATACAAATTAAACACCTAGACACATTGATATATTGAAAAATACTATAAAAAAAATACTGTAAAAAAGAAGATGAGAGATTACATGCCTACCTAGAGAAAAGAATACTTTTAACTACGGTGAAGACAAGAAGCAAATGGCAAATAAGATTAAATCATAGGCGTGCGCAGCCTATTCCATAAGGGTGTGCACCCTAAAGCACAAACACACACGCTGTGTATATATATATATATATATATATATATATAAATATATACACATACATATACATACGCACGCACACGCACACACACACACTGCTGTGAGTGTAAGGGTGCTGTGTTTATGAGGATGCTGTAAGTGTGTTAGTGTGTGTGCTGTTAGTGTGTGTATGTGTAAGGGTGATGTGTGTAATGGTGATGTTAGTGTGTTGTGTGTGTATGGGTGATGTATGTGTGTGGGTGCTGTATGTGTGTATTGTGTGGGGGTGGGGGAACCATTTAGTTAATAGCCCCTCTCCCTTCTTACCTTTTGTAGGGAGGGGGGACCGTGCTGCTGCCATCCCTGGTGGTCCAGTGGTGAGTGATCTTTGATCTTTCTCGCCGGCCCATGGAGACACATAGCGCAGGCTACGGGGATTAGGGTGTGCCCAGGCACACCTCGTGCGCACGCCTATGGATTAAATACAGATAAATGCAAAGTCATGCGGTTGGGAATAAGGAGTTATGGATAACATACAATAAAAAGGAATTGGGAGCAATAATAGATAACAAACTAGGCAACAGTGTGTAATGTAGGTCTACCATTGCAAAACCAATTAAGCTGCTGACATGCATAAAAAAAGTGTATTGATTCATGTGATCAAGATATCATTTTTACTTATTATAAATCAATGGTGAGATTTCACCTTTGTTTTGCAGTTCAATTTTGGGCACCAGTTTTAAAGAAGGACATTGCAGAACTGGAAAAGGTGAGTTACAAATTTGATTGGAAAATATTAGTTCTGAAGAAAGGTTCGAAAAAAATCTTATCTTTAGAAAAAAAATGTGCCTTAATGTGCCTTGGAGGGGATATGAAGACACTTTGCAAATGTATCTAGAGTCAGTATAAAGTTGTAGGTGCTAACCTAAACCAAGAGGTCATCAACTAAGCCTAGAAGAAAAGTGTGTAGCGGAATGGAGAACTCAAATATACTTTTATTCCCTTCTGTTTGGCTGTCCGTGTACCCTGTTCATTTACCGAACCCCCTCGCTGTGTGGCCCCTTGTTCGCACCTTCATAATCACCGTTAACCACAAATTGGTTATTAGTTCAAGTGCTTTCCCTGTGTGGCCGCTGTTCGTGTAACCGCAATAATGCACGTGTTCAAACAATTGGCAGCCATTTTGTCTCCCGAATGAGGTCAGCGGTACATGGTCATAGACGGTGAGGAACTATTTTCGAAAAAAACCCGTTGGCCACATGATGGGTCTCATCAGCGTGCAGGCCCCGATGCATGTGCACCAGTGGCAGATCCGCCACTGCAGATGGGGAATGTGGGGCCTGGCAGCAGGGTCACCAGGCCCCTGACAACCATTATGGTTGTCACCCCCTGATGACGGCCCTGTTTGGAGATATGCAAAAATAAAAGACACATCTTGCCGAGTATTTTTATTTCTTCTTTTCGCTTGCAAATGTTGTCCCTAATTGTGTTTTAGAATGAACTGAATTGTGATGTAATTTGCTAATTCTTTCAATGTTTTATTAGGTGTTGTAGTTTCCAGAGAACTGACCATCCCCATTTAAAGAAAAAAAAAAAAAGAAATCCTTTATTTTCGTGTCAGATCATTTTTTTTTTTTTAAATTAAATTCTTTATTTTTGCAGTGCATATGCGTATAAGAGTCGCATATGAGGTACCCCAACGTCAATCCTCTAGCGTTTTGTAGACATTGAGATCATTGAGGTATATGAGAGAACTTGCACATTTTTATAATTAAAAGATATGTTTAACAAGATTAACAGTCTAGTTTCAGTATAATGCGGGACCTAGTATAATGCTGTTGCTCTGGCGTTATAATAGCGTATGAATGAAGCAGGGTCGAGGCCTGTGATTTGTGCCATTGAGTGCTCAGTCAGGACTATGTTAGGTGACTGGTTAGCCAGCAAGTGTGTCTTGTGTAGACGGACCTCTTTAGAAGAGCAAGTAGGGGTGTAGCTCAGGATGGGCCCCTGCAGGTTGATAGGTGGAATTGTGACAGATTTAGCGTTTTCCTGTTAATAGGGGTGCTGAGTCTGTGTAAGTGAATGGTCACTGTGCTACACTTATAACAGTCCCAGAGATGGACATTGAAACCGGCCATCCGACCTAGCTAAATAGGGCTAAGCAGTCTTACTACACGTTGTACTCCTCAAGGGTAGCTATAGATCATGCTAGGTAGAGTAAATGTGTGTAAGTAGAGTCTGGGGAGTCAGCCATGGCAATAGTAGGAATAAAGCATTATATATAACAGGTAATATGAAATAAACATGAGAGAAACATGCTAAGTTAACTACAAGCTGAACCAAGAAATAATGTGTTCACTGTGGTATGATTAGGAAATAAAATAAATATAATGCTAGAAAACATGCACGGCTAACATGAGTTAATAAAACCGTCTGGTTATCCAAGAGCACATCCTGCACATTTTTTAAAAAGGCATGTAAGAAAGGAACACATTGGGTAGCACATTTTGGCAATGAGTAAACAGGCTGTGTGCCTAACATTAAGCTTATTAAAGTAGATAGTGATGAGTGAGGAGTTAACACGCTATGCTTATAAGGTTGATATCTAACGACATGCTGCACATTATATACATAACCGTAATGTCATGCGTTTAGGAAGTGAAGGCCTAACATGTTAGCATGGTGGTTTCATTCTCTTTCTCCCCACAGCTCACTGTGTCATCCAACGCTGCATGCGGGCCATAAGCAAAAGTCCAACTCTGATCTGAATTCTGATCTGAACTTTTCTGCTCCACAACCTTCCACTCTGCGTCCTCTAATATACAGTTCACGAAGGTGAGTGGCACTGCTGAGATGTTGCCAGGCATCCCTCCTGCCCCAGGCTTGCGTCGAAGCCGGCACCATGATGCCATGAACTCGGGCCCTTTTCCCATCCGAGATGATGCAGGAGGTTCTGTACGTCTTGGTTTTCTGCCTGCGTGGCCGATGCTTAGGGGTCGGTCGCCCGTTGGCCTTGGTCCCAGGAAGGGGTGGGGTGAGGTGTGTAGTCTGCTTTGGCAACGGTTAGCCCGTGAGGGGCTTCTCAGGTCCCGCCTCGTGACGCTGTTTTGTTTCCGCTTGGGGGACCACATCTGATGTCTTCTCTAAGGCAGCCCACCATCGGTGGAAGACCGCTTCCAGGTGGTCCGAGATAGTGCTGCTTATTTCAGGTGAGTCATTTTGATATAGTGCCTCCGAGACAAGTGCGTCCGCCATCTTGCTCCCCACAGTTTGGCAATTGCTGGGTGGTTATGGAGATGAACTCCTGTGGTAGTTAAGTCCGGGTGCTGGTATCGGCAGCAGTGGAAGTGGGGACCAGGATAACCCACACTGGTCCAAAGGAGGGGGGATACAGGATTCTGCCACAATTCAGCCTGCACGGCTCTGCTAAGGAGGTTGGCCGTCACTCCCAGCCGAGACCACGCTAGGCCTCAAGTTTGCCAAATCAGAGCTCTGTCGGTGTCTCGCAATTGCCCTAACCAATGCTCGGGGTATCCCTGACACCCCTTGGTGTGTTCCAGGGTCAAGTTTAGCTTGTTTTCGCTGAGTTTATATCGATTATAGCAAAATTTGTGAGGAGCCCTTGTCTCATGCGTCTGCTCAGTTAGATGTCAGGCCCCGCCCCCCGCATGTCAGATTATTTTAACTTTAAAGAATACATTCCAGGACAAGGACTGTACTATTACTTACAGAACGTGTGTGTAGATGCAAATAGAGCTATAATGTACAGCTGTGCTCAAAAGTTTGAACACCCTTGGTAATTGGTAATGTATGTACAATTTTTAAAGAAAACATGAGTGAGCAGGCAAAACACATTTATTTTCATAGTCAACTGTAGTATATAACAAAATGGCACAATCATAATACAAAATATGTCAACAAAGAAAAAAATGAAACAACCTCTGTTCAAAAGTCTGCATACCCTTAGTTCTTAATACGGTGTATTGCCCCCTTTAGTATCAATAACCGCGTGCAGTCTTTTGTAATAGTTGTCTATGAGGCCCCTAATTCTTGCAAGTCGTATAGCTGCCCATTCATCTTGGCAAAATGCCTCCAGGTCATGCAAAGTCTTTGGTCGTCTTGCATGAACCGCATGTTTGAGATCTCCACAGAGTGGATCGATGATCTTCAGGAGATGACACATGGACATACATACTGACACAGGAGACTGTGATGGCCACTCCAGAACCTTCACCTTTTTCTTCTTTAACCACTGAAGGGTCAACTTGGCCTTGTGCTCAGGGTCATTGTCATGCTGGAAATTCCAAGAGCATGGCAGCCTTCGTGCAGATGAATGCAAATGGTCATCCAGTATTTTCTGATAACATGCTGCATTCAACTTGCCATCAATTTTCACAAGATTCCTAGTGCCTTTAGAGCTCACACATCCCCCAAAAAATCAGTGAGCCACCACCATGTTTCACACTGTGGATGGTATTCTATTCACAGTAGGCCTTGTTGACCCCTCTCCAAACATAGCGCATATGATTGTGACCATAAAGCTCTATTTTGGTCTCATCACGCCAAATTACAGTTTGCTAGAAGCTGGGAGGCGTATCAAGGTGTTGTTGGGCATATTGTAACCGGGCTTTTTTGTTGTATTGGCACAGTAAAGGCTTCTTTCTGGCAACTAGACCATGCAGCTAATTTTTGTTCAAGTATCGTCGTATTGTGCTACTTGAAACCACCACACCACCTTTTTCCAGAGCAGCCTGTATTTCTTCTGAGGTTACCTGTGCGGTTTTATTTGTATCCCGAATAATTATTCTGGCAGTTGTGGCTGAAATCTTTCTTGTTCTACCTGACCTTGGCTTGGTATCAAGAGTTACCTGAATTGGATTGAACAGTACTGGCTGGCATTTTCAAGTCTTTTGATATCTTTTTATATCCTTTATAAAGTTCCGCTACCTTGGTACAAAGGTCTTTTGACAGTTTATTTCTGCTCACCATGGCTCAGTATCTAGCCTGCTCAGTGCATCCATGTGAGAGCTAACAAACTTGTTAACCATTTATACACAGACACAAATTGCAATTTAAAAAGCCACAGGTGTGGGAAATAAACCTTTAAATATGCTTTTAAAAAGATCCATACAACTATGTGATAATAAATGTATTTATTTAAAAAATATTTTACCAGGATGGATACTTTGAGATTTCTTTTCTTTTCAAGTATGTCCTGGGTTCACAAATCATTGCATTGTTATATAAACATGCACACACACATGTATAAATGTAACACATAACAGATGGTAAATATATTCCACCACGACAGGTGCATTCTGTGCTGAGGTATATTGCCATAAAGCTCTTAAAAGATTTTAGATTGAATGAAAATTTGACTGTGTCCCTGATATTATTCCATAATTGCGGTGCTCTGTAGGAAAATGAGGATTGAGCCTCTTTATTTTTGTATTGCAGTATGTAAAATATTGTGTTAGTAGTGGATCGGAGGTTATATGAGGTGGGAACAGCTGGGGAGAGCATTCTACTCAGGTAGGGTGGGAGCTTCACAGAAAAGCTCTTATAAAAAAAAAAAATAGGAAAAATTAAAAGATCAAACTCTATATTCAGACCACGTGGTTCCAAGGTTTTTAATCTGTGTACTTATTTCATTTCCTCTTTACCTATTTTTGACACATGGTCTCCCCCTCTATGAGATTTATTTACTATTTGTATTTCTAAAAACATCAAACCTCTGGGGTCCATATTATGTTTTGATTTAAAATGTGCTGAGACACTATGTTGGGTAACTCCTCTTAAAATGTTAACATGCTCCCCTATTCGTTTGTGAAGTGGGCATATAGTACGTCCCACATACTGTTGTCCACACAGACATATTAAAAGATAAATTACATTCCTCGTAAAAAAACAAGTAATAAAATCATCAATATTAAATTCATTTCCATTATATGTGCTTTTAAATTTACCTATACCCTTCAAAGATTTATTTTTACTATATTTACATCCAGTACATTTGCCACATGAATAAAAGCCTTTTCTGTCATTCATAAAATGTTTATGTGTAACTTTCTTAGGTTGATTATGAGTTAAAATAAGATTAAAATTAGGGGCACCTCTAAATGTTATAAAGGGTTTTTGTAGTTTCAGCACATATAGACATTTTAAAATATTTTGGGTTCTAACATTAAAAAGTTTTTTTTAGCATTAATAATAATAATACTAGTGTTTTAAATGATAACCATGCTACTCTTGAAAGAAATATAGCTTTTACACAAGAAACTATCGTACCAGTGCAATTGACATGCTTGAGAAAACTGTAACCAGTGATTTTGAGAGACTTGAAAAGAAAAATTCTAAAAAATATTTTAATTTAAGTTATAATGAGAAATGTGCACTGGATGAACTAAGGGGTAATGAAAAAATTATCATTAAACCCGCTGATAAGGGGGGTAGTATTGTCATCCAAGATACAGAACAATATTTAAAAGCATGTTATAGACAACTTAATTATAAAGAAGTGTATACTGAATTAAAGGACCACTATAGTGCCAGGAAAACATACTCGTTTTCCTGGCACTATAGTGCCCTGAGGGTGCCCCCACCCGGCTCTGAGGAGAGGAAAGGGGTAAAACTTACCTTTTTCCAGCGCTGGGCAGAGAGCTCTCCTCCTCTGATCCTCCTCTTCTCCTCCCTGTCGGCTGAATGCGCACGCGTGGCAAGAGCTGCGCGCGCATTCAGCCGGTCACATAGGAAAGCATTCATAATGCTTTCCTATGGACGCTGGCGTGCTCTCACTGTGAAAATCACAGTGAGAATCACACAAGCGCCTCTAGCGGCTGTCAATGAGACAGCCGCTAGAGGAAATAGGGGAAGGCTTAACCCATTCATAAACATAGCAGTTTCTCTGAAACTACTATGTTTATGAAAAAAATGGGTTAACCCTAGCTGGACCAGGCACCCAGACCACTTCATTAAGCTGAAGTGGTCTGGGTGCCTAGAGTGGTCCTTTAAGTAAGGACCCCACCCCAGAGATACAATTAACACTATATGTACTTTTGGAAAAAGGAAGGGACTCTACTATTTTAAATGATAATGAATATAGATTTTTAAAGAATGCGTTTCCCCATATACCCACATTCTATACATTACCTAAGGTTCACAAATACATTAGAAATCCACCAGGGAGACCTATAGTTTCCAGCATAGGCTCCATCTCTGCGAACCTATCTAAATTTGTGGATATTTATCTACAAGATTTAGTAAAAACCATGCCCTCTTATATAAAAGACACTACGGACAGCATTAGGATTTTAAGAACTATTAAGTAGGAACAAGATTTTATATTGGTAACCAGTGACATGTCACTTTTGTACACCTCTATACCACATGATAAGGGGTGTCAGGAGATATGTAGCAAACTGGAAAACTCACAAAAAAATGTCTTTAGAATGTATCAATTTTATTGTAGAGATCATAACTTGGATTTTAGAAAATAATTATTTTAATTTTAATAATAAATATTATTTATAGCGTCAAGGTAATGCGATGGGGGCCAAGTTTGCCACCAGTTACGCCACTTTATATATGGCAGGATAGGAGAACGAATTTGTGTATGGCAACACTATGTGGGGGGCAAACTTGGCCCTATATCATAGGTATATAGATGACCTTATATTTATATGGAAAGGCAGTAAAGATGATTTGGATAGGTTTTTAAATAGTCTTAACCCAAATAACTGGGGTATCAAACTAACTAGCAAAAAATAACTAGGGTATCAAACTAACTAGCAAAAATAGAGGATTTAGACTTGGAAATATATATTGAAAATAATGAAATTAAAACAAAAAATGTCTTTAAAAACTTTGATGCAAACAACTATGCGTTATATAATAGCGGACATTATACTCCATGGTTAAACAATATCCCTAAAGGTCAATTGAATAGGATTAGACGAAACTGCACTGAGAAATACAGTTTTAAACAACAGGCACAACTTTTAAAGGGACGCTTTTTAGACAAAAGGTATCCAGAAGTTTTGGTAAATAGGGAATATGATGAAACAGTTATTTTAGAACAAGATGTTTAATTGAGAGAAAGGAAGTAAAAAAGGATGATAAAAATGAACTAAGT